CCCCCCCGAGGGGTGATTTCTTACTTTCTGTCTCTCTGGCGAGTACACACACCCTATAGCAAAAAACTCTCCAAAAAAAAAACCCTTATATGTTTAGACACTGGGTCTCCACCTTGGCTGTGCTTTGGAATCACCTGAGAGTTTTTTTTAAAAAAATACTGGTGGACAGATCCCCTCTGATAGTCTGACTTCATGCTACAGAGTGTGGTCTAGTTGTTGGGATTTTTAAAAATCCCCCAGGTGATTCTAATGTGCAGCAGAGTTTAAGAACTTCTCATTTGAAATAATATAAGGTTTTAAAGTGCTAAATTTCCATCTTTTTGTTAGTAGAAGATCAAATAATGTTTTTATTACAGAAGTACTACAAAATTGTTTTAGAAACTGTAGTTGACCCAAAAATATGTATGTAATAGTGATCTGTAATCCCTTCACTGGAAGATAACAATGCAGTATTAGGCTTTGTCCCTTTTAAAGCACATTTGTTTATTTAAAGTTTTTAATTACAAATGTTCTCTTCTATGGAGTTTCATGTTTAATGCCAGATTGTCTTACTTCTCCTTGTTGGATTTACCGACTTTTCCAGACCAATAAATTCTTGATTTTTATTATTATTTTTTTTTAATTTATAATTCTTAGGCTTAGACCTTTTCTTTTATTTTTTTTAAAGAATTATTTTATTTAACTTTTATTTATTATTATCATTATTATTTTCCAGTTTGATCAGAGAGAGAGAAAGGAAGTGAGAAAGCAAGCCACCAGGTCCGAGACTTGAACCGTGGTCAGCCATGTGGGAGTCCAGCGCCCCCAACCACCATGCCACCTGCCGGCCCCAAATTCTTGATTTTTAAATAAACTCCTTTGGTGTCTTCAAGAGATTGGTTCCACCATATCTGTGGTACCAAATCCAGGGATGCGCCAAGTCTCTTACATAAAATGGCATTGTATTTGCATAAAATCTAGCACATCCTTCTGTGTGCTTTAAATCATGTCTAGGTTACTTATAATACTTAATGCAATATAAATATACAAATAGTCGCTATACCATTTTTTAATTTCTATTGCTAGAGTTATTTTGCTTCGTTGGTTTTGGGGTGTGTGTGTGTGTGTGTGTGTGTGAATATTTTCAATCTGTAGTTAGTTGAATTTGGAACCCAGGGATATGGAGAGCTGACTATAAACACATAATAGTGTCAAGTTTTTTGTTTGTTAGGTTTTTGTTTTGGCTATAGGGCATGTGTCCTTGCCATAGAGACAGAGAAACCCAGAGACAGAAAGTGAGAAATCGCTTACCAGGGGGGATGGCCACACTGCAATCCCTCTTCTCCATTCTCCTCTTGAGATTTTGGGCATGCTTGCACACATGCCCAGCATGAGTTTTAAGTCTCTGAGTTCAGAACTTGACTATGTGGTAGTCCAGCAATGTAACCGCTATGCCATCTGCTGGTACCCATAGTTTTTAGAGGCCAGTAACTCCCAAAGTGGAGCAGTCTATATATTAGTGGAGAATTTGTATATTCTCTGAAGTAACACTTAGGAGACTGATTTATTTCTCTCTCCTTTCAGACACATAAATCTTGGTTTACTTCTTATCTCCCATATAAACTGACGACAAAGCCAAGCCCATATGGTTTTTATCCCTGAGCAGTGGCATGCAATAGAGCTCAGTAAGTGCTTGAGTTAATGGATAGAGAGCTGTATTTCAGGATCCAAGGTGGGAGTGGTGGTTAGAGTTTAAAAGGATAATAATTACTGAAATAAGTTCAGATGTGCCTGAAAAAAAATTACTTGGGAATGTAGGGGTAGTAGGGAATAAGAGTGGGTTTGAGAAAAGGGCAAGAGGATAGGGGACACTTTAGAATAGGCAAGCTTTAGATCCTATAAGGAAAGTGCAACGTCCTCTAGTTTCAGAAACTTCCTGCATTTGGCCTCCAACAGGCTGTCTTCCCTGGAATAGCTGCCCAAAATGAGGAAGGGATCCCTCTTCCTCAGTATGGTGAAGGGATCTTATCTTATCGTCCATCTCCCCTGTACTAGTCACTTGTCTTTTTTTTTTTTTTTTTTGCTGAGGAGGGGGTATTTTTGCTAAAGGGCACATGCACTCACTAGAGACACAGAGAGACAGAAAGCGAGAAATCATCCTCCAGGGGGGATGGCCATGCCATGATCCCTTCTCCTCCATTCCCCTCTTGGGGAATGAAGAGTTGTGCACTGGCATGAGTTTTAAGCCACTGGTCCAGTACTCAAACCACAGTTGACCATGTGGGAGTCCAGCCCCTTAACCACTGTGCCACCTGCCAGTCTGGACTCTTCACTTGTCTTAATAGAGAAGCTGAATCAGATATACTGTCAGAGTAAGAATCAGTTAATTTTTGGAGTCTACTCCTCCTTGAATATTTTCCTAATAACAACTTGATGACAAACTATTGTGGTATAATAGAGTTCCATGAACAACTATGACTGACCCATTTATTTCTACAAAGGCCTGAGAAGAGGAGGAGTTTAAATAAATGGTGTGGAAGGGACTCAGAGCAGTAATGGCCTGCAGAGGGATTTCCCCAGGAGGGAAAGGGCCAGCTGAGATATGTCACAGGTTTGCTGGTGAAGCCAGGCTTGGTTTCAGTGAGCCCACACCACTCAAGCTGCTCTGCAAGGTGTTTTTGATGCTCTAACCACAAAGCTGGACATCTTGGCTTCATACGAATTATGAAGGATTTGTTTTGCATAGTAACTTCATGCAATGTAGCTTAATAATCAGTAGATTTCTTAATCACAATCACAAAGGTTATGTAACAGAATACCTTTATAACTTTTGGCCTTTGAAAAACTTTTTATTTAAACATGTTTTGATCTTTACTTGCTTATTACTCTCTGAATTATCATTAAAAAGCAGAAATTGCAAATGTGTACATTTTACTTTGTGAGCATATAACGTACATGCATGATTCTGTTACATCACTGAAATCATTTAGAATTTAGGCATCTGCATATTCTAAAACCTACAAAACATTATAAGTGATTCTCTACCATCTCTCCTATTTTTATTGAAAAGGCATTAAAGATAGTTAAAACTATCAATCATCATACTTAGAATTAAGAACAAAATTAAAGAATAAAATAGCAAGCCTGGCTTATTTGTCTGAATAATTGTCTCACAATAAAATCATATTAGGTTGTTTGGAAAGTCATGATATATTTTCCTGTTTTTCTATCCAAAAATGCGTTCTAACTTTCCTGATAACCCAATACAATAAATGAAGGAGAGAGAATTCTTATAGTGACATCACAGAATATAAGATGAATCCTAGAGGTGATATTTATTCAGATAACATCACCAAGTCGAGTGAAACGCAGAGATTTCTGGAATGGTGGGCCAACATTCAGAGCTTGGAGTATATTATGATTTAATGGTACCTCTCCACTGCATTTAATGAGCTGTCCTAGAAAAAACATTTTGAAGCAATAAAGCATCCATTTGGCTTCTAAGTAATGAAGGAAGCATTGCTCTTTGCATTAACTATTTATTCAGGAAGAGAACTGACCAACTGCTAATAAGCTTTATCCAGAAGGTCATGAGAAACAGAAAAAAAAAAATGCAAAACTGAGGTTCTCTTCAATTTCATATGCAATTAACCCAAAGCTGAATGGTTGGTGCTCCTTTTCCATGTCACTGTTGGCCAGCTCTATTTAAGTGTGAGTGCCTGTCAGATGTATTAAAGGCTTCTGGGCTCAGAGAAGGACTGTGTAGCCTAAACCAGTGATAAGTGAGAGGAGGCAATGACTGGTGAGTACCTAAGATTAGGCTGATCTCTTTCGTTTCGAAATAGATGTGTTTTCTAAAATGAATAGTGGCAGTTTCGGCTTTTTACTTTACTCTCTTTTGAGAAGAATTCACTTCGTTTTCCTTTTTATATGATGGTTGCTTTTTCATTACTTGTAAAATCTGCTCTACAGTTCAGTTCAGTGTTTAGATTTATCGCTTGATCGGGAGGCTTTTAACGTGAGAAAATTCCTAATTTGGTATATAAATAAATTTGTAATACATTATTTGGAAATAGCTTCTAGGGAGTAATATAATGTTTTTCTCTTGTTCCACAAGTAAATAAGTGTTCCTTCTTTGTAGTAAATACTTAGATTTATTAACTCCATGATCACAACCTAATTATTACATTCACCCATAAAGAGGGGCTTCTTTCAAGGCTTTTCAGAATCTTACTTTGAAGCACTTTTGTGATAAAACAGCACAGAGTTTTCATTCTTTTTGCTTGAAGCTTCTTAGTATAATTAATTTGCTTTTTTTAGTGACATAAAAAAAGATGAAAGTCATAATTCTTTTCTTTCTTACTTTTCTTTTCTTTTTTTTTTTTTTTTTTTTTTTGTCACAATTATTTTCTTCCCTAAAGCCAAGTAAAGGATTTTTGTGCTAATTTTTCCTCCCTGTTCTCACTAAAGACTAGTGCTTTGGAGTTCCATACTGAGAAAAAATTCATCATATAAATCATATTAAAATAGGCTGTGGAAATATGTAAACAGTATTATTTAACTGTTAGCAGAATATTCTTGATACCGTAATAAACAGATCATGAAATCATTTAGTAGTGCCTTCTTTTGGCTTTCAACTTAAAAAATATTTTCCATATTGAAAACTATGTATTCTAAGTTTACTACAAATTATTTTGAAGTACATTTTAACTAAATTTTGGAGACAGAGCTCATGAAATAAGAATGCACTGTTTGTTTGGGTTCGTAGCCTTTGGAAAAGGGCTAGAGAGCCTGAGAAGTAAGTAGCAATAGGATCAAAACCAAGAAGATTCTTTAGCATTTTCCTTTCCTAGACCACATGATATTACATCACATGGAGATCTCATTTACTTTACGGAGAATCCTACTTTCTTCATCAAGGAAATAGACTCAGGTTAGAAATGGAATTACCTCATAAGCGGTTAGGTGTTGTACAGTCTCTCTTGGTTATTGACAATCATTAGAATGAATTATCCCTTCAGATAATCACTCCGTTCCGAAGGCTAATGCTGTGTGCTGATAACAGAAAGGAGATGGAAGACTGGATCAGCTCACTGAAGTCCGTACAGACCAGAGAACCCTACGAGGTAAAAGAGTGTCTCTACTGTCGTCTCGTGTTCTTAGAGGATAAATATTAACTGAACAGCAAAAATACTGAGCAAAAATGAGTATGTGTAGACACATTCAACTACTTGCTTAAACCAGATTTTGACTTTTTTTTTTTTTTTTTACCTGAAACAGAATGCTCTGGGCTTAAAAAATTATTTGAAGTTTTGACTATAACTATACATATTTCAAAGAGTTCAGCGTTGTAGTCTTGCTGTCCTGTTTGGCAAATCTGTCCTGACATCTCCTTTCCAGGTGGCCCAGTTTAATGTGGAACATTTCTCAGGGATGCATAACTGGTACGCCTGCTCCCACGCCCGCCCCACCTTCTGTAACGTGTGCAGAGAGAGTCTGTCTGGAGTCACCTCCCATGGCCTGTCCTGCGAAGGTACTGTTACACCTGGCGGTAACCGTATTGAAGACACACTACCATTGGTTCTTCTGTGATATAAACAGCAAAACTCATCACAGGAAAAATTTTCCTTAGATGGAAACAGTGATTGGGATACCTCAGAGGAACACCATGTTTAAGTTTTATTGTAGCATGAGGTCGAGCTCTGCACACACAGGACTAAATTGGGAAATATTTTTGCTCAGGGAAAGATAGTATAAAAATAATTTGAAAGGAAGCATAAATCAAATTATAGCATTTTACTCCTAAGAACTGGGAACTACAATCTAAAAAAAAAATCTTTGGATCCTGTATGTCATTCCAGTATTTTTCATTCTGATTGGTGAACAAATCATCAATCCAGAAAAAAATAGAGCTCTTTAGTTAAACCCTCATTTACCATTACAAACTATAATTGGAAGTAATAATAGTTTAACTCATTTAAACTTACCTTTCCTCATCTGTAAAATGAGGATAATATTTATATCTCACCAGATCACTCGAAATTAAAATGAAAGAGTACGTACATATAAATCTGTTTCTAGTTACAGTTTGAATTTGTAGAAATTTGTAACTGTGCTCTTTAAGAAATCTATCAAATAAACATTCCAGCTTGGGCCTGAGGAATCAAAATTCATGAAAACTAAAATTTGAAGGAATTAAACATTTGATTTTAGATTTAAAGAATAATTGCAAAAGAAGATACAATTGGCTTTTATGACTTTATCGAAAAGGTTTCTGGTAGGTCTAATAACTCCTGCCAGACCCGTACTATCATGTTGCATTATTTTGAAGATCTTATTGCCTTCTAGTATCTCATCTCAAAAATACTAAAACAGGGAACTAGCTGTTAGCATAATGGCTATGTCGCTGGACTCCCATGTAGTCGACCGCGGTTCGTGTCCCGGACCCGGTGGCTTAAAACTCACGCCAGGCACGTGTGCGTGCATGCCCAAGATCCCGAGAGGAGAATGGAGGAGAAGGGATTGCGGCGTGACCATCCCCCCTGGGGGGTGATTTCTCGCTTTCTGTCTCTATGTCTCTGTCTGTCTGGCGAGCGCACACGCCCTATGGTGGAAACCTCTCCAAAAAAAAAAAAAAAGAAAGAAAAAGAAAAAATACTAAAACAAATACCAGAGCTGAGCTACTTTATGATACCCTTCTGATTTGAAAGTTATGTATTATTAAATATATTTAATTATTTAGGAATTCAGTCAACAGTAAAATGAGTGAAACTTTTTCTAAAAAACATTTTTTTTCTTTTTTTTTCTTTTTTTTTTTTTGGAGAGATTTTCACTATAGGGCGCGTGCGCTCGCCAGACAGACAGAGAAGGACACAGCGACAGCGAGAAATCACCTCCTAGGGGGGATGGTCACGCCGCAATCCCTTCTCCTCCATTCTCCTCCCGGGATCCTGGGCACGCACGCACACGCGCCCGGCGTGAGCTTCAAGCCACTGGGTCCGGGACACGAACCGCAGTCGACCACGTGGGAGTCCAGCGACATAGCCATTACGCTAACCGCTGGTTCCCCTAAAAAACATTTTTAAAGAAAAATGAAAATCTTAGCTGGTAAGAAATGTAAGTCTTTAAATAACTGCATTATGTTCTTTGTAAATAATGTCTTTCAGACTTTTTTTAAGTCTCATGGGATTTAAAAATATTTTTTAGAAAATGATATATATTGGTGTTCATTTTCTTTGCTGGTAAGGTTTTTTAAATCTTCCCTCTCTATCCCATTAACATTTTTAGAACTGCAGCAAAAGGTTTAAAAACCCGTACGGTTTTAAATGTAAAATAAAAAGTTGCTCTTTAGGTTGATGACGTTATGGTTATCGTAGATATTTTTTATCATAATCAAAGTTGTACTTAAATTTTTGAAACCCCCTCTTCAAGTCTGAATGAACAGCCTGCTTGAAAAAACTAAAAGGAGACTTAAGAAGTTTTAAAAGTTATAATGGAGATGCAAATATAACACAAATTGTTCAACAGTGAAGATTACTAACTTTGTATTAGAATGGAATCCAGCTTCCAGTGTGCAAATTGATCACTAAATTTATGTAACCTTTCTGCCCTTGTTTTTAGCAATAAAATGAGACTGTACTGATTTGTCTTCTAGGTTTGTGTTGAATAATAACTAAGATCATAATTTTAAAGCCTTGCATATATAAAATAGTATATGAGTGAAACATAAAATACAAGAAATAGTTTTAATAAATAATCCCTTAAATCAATAGAAAATGTTAATTGTAGTTTCAGAGCATAATTGTCCTTCATAGTTATTTAAATAGTAGTTTCACATAAAAAGTTAAATTGTAAATTTTTTTCAATCAACAGCATAAAATAGGTCAACTTTGGTACTTAAGAAGTTTTATTAGGGAGAAATGTTCATATGTTGAAATATCCACTTTGTAAGCTAAATAACGTGATTGAATGTGTAAAAGAAAATGAAATAAATATTTTTAAAAAGAAGTTTTATTTTAGTTGCTATTTAACACTTTGAAAGATTCAGTTTGGTAAAGGTTAAATGTTGCAGTAAAAATTATAATTTTGTCACATCAGTTTTTTTTTTTGAGTTCTGTGATTTTAAATAATGACTTTACAGGTCAGAGAAAAATGCTTTATTTCAGGATAACCTATCTGAAGAAATTTGATTATCGCCTAATAAAATTAAAGTACCCGTCAATCATATTTATTCCTCAGTGACCATACTTAAACTCTGGTTTGTTTTAATATGATCATCATATATTAAACAACTTTGTAATTCTCAAAGCTCATGGCATGTGGCACTTTATTATTACAAAAGTATGATTTTTATTTTTATTGACCTGTTTGATTTGTAGTAGCCAGATTTTCAAAAAGCCATGAAATTATGCACTATTGGCCTGTTTCAGCTTCTTCTTTTCCCCTTAGGAACCTGTTATGGACTATCAATAGCAAGTGCTTATACTTAGATGACAGTTTTAGGATCCTGCTTCTGAGAAATGCCATGATAGATATAAAGGCCTAGAGATTCTAACTAGTCATAGTTTAAAATAGTCACTCAAGGAGCCGGCAGGTGGCATGGTGATTGGAGTGCTGGACTCCCATATGGCTGACTACGGTTTGAGTCCCGGACCCAGTGGCTTGCTTCCTCATTTTTCCCTCTGTCTCTCTCTGGTCAAATTGAAAATAATAATAATAATAAAATTAAATTAAATAATTCTTTTAAATAGTCACTCAGAGCAGAACAGATCATGATTAGTTTTTTTTCTAAACTAAACTTAATTCCTATAGTGTTATTCTTCATGCTTATTGTTTATTAGCAACAAAATTCAATTGAAATATTACTATTTTCTATATGAAGTCTGTGCCCGAGTCACATAGTCATTTATGACAAAAACAGTATGATTTCCAGGAAAGAATTTTTCCAAGTACACAAAAGAGGAAGTAAGAAAGACATTTCCAATATCTACAGAATAATATTTTCAAGGATAAACCAGCTCAATTTAAATCACCCTTTATATATTGGCTATTCTTGTTTCTCTCTGGTCAAATTAAAATAAATGAATAAATAATAAAATTAAATACAATTTTTTGAGAGTTTTTTTTCTATAGGACGCGTGTGCTCTCCAGACAGACAGACAGAGACAGAGAGACAGAAAGCAAGAAATCACCCCCCAGGGAGGATGGCCACGCTACAATCCCTTCTCCTCCATTCTCCTCTCAGGATCTTGGGCATGCACGCAGACGCGCCCGGCGTGAGTTTAAGCCACCGGGTCCGGGACTCGAACCGGAGTTGACTATGTGGGAGTTCAGCGACATAGCCATTACGCTAACTGCTGGTCCCTTAAATACAATTTTTTTAAAAAGTGCCACCTTTGCAACTCTCATCATTTTTCCCATTATGCCTGGAGTTTTCTTGATATGCATTCAATTGCTTTGAATTGCTTATCTTACTGACATTTTCAAACTTAATATAAATATACATGTGCAATAATACAAATATCAGAAGTGTATAGCTCAATAAATTTGCATAAAATAGACACATTCATGTCATAAGTATTCAGATCAAGAAGTAGGTTGTTTTGAGCACCCCAGTTACTGAATTGTATTTATTTGTGTGTGTATGTGTGTATGTGTGTTTGTGTGTGTGCTCATGAACCCTACGAGGGTGTCTATGTATGTGTGTGTTGCTTCCCTCCTTAAGAACTCATTTGTTTTATTTATTTCCTTTCTGTTCTTCTAAATAGCAACCTGAGGCTTTATAAGGGCTTCATAAGCACATAGTTGTATGTGTTTTTTTAGAACACCATTACTATTGTTGGAGAGTAATTCAAACTTTTAAAAATATTTGTTCTCTTTCTGCCTTATCTCTCCCTTTAAAAAATTTCATGCTGTGATTTCTTTTGTAAATCATTAGCCCCAAAGTATTGATTTACTTTAAAATGATTGACTCTTTTTTTGTTTTTTTTCAGTATGTAAATTCAAGGCTCATAAGAGGTGTGCAGTGAGGGCAACGAATAACTGCAAATGGACCACTCTGGCCTCCATTGGGAAGGACATTATAGAGGACGAGGATGGGGTAAGCCGCTGTCTATTTCTGATCTCTTCCCAGTGCCTCTCAGTTTCTGTTCTTGTGGAAATAATGATAGGGAGTTAAGTGGAAGTGTTCATTATTAAGATCAAATAGGTACTCACTTTGGCAGCCCATGGACTAAAATTGGAATAATACAGAGGCTCCTGTGCAAGGATGACATGCAAATTTATGAGGTGTTCCACATTTAAAGAAAAATACAGTATAAAATAGAAGGTTTTAGTTGATTATGAGTTTTTATTTTTTCACTCAGGTTTTTGTAATCCAGTTTCTTCAGCTCTGATTTGGAGGGAAATCTGTTGGAATAGTGCTTAAGTGTGACTGCTGTGCTGGGCTGGTGGTGTAGGCCCTTGGCTGACAAACTCTTTCTAAGGCTTAGACTCTGGGGCTTCCTCTCAATAAGTACCCCCTTCCAAACCTTGCCTCAGTTGTAACTTGCCTATGAATCTGATAGCACTGAATGATCCCCTTGGATAATCCTTTTACATGCCTTTCTCCTTAGGCTTCTTCCTGAATCCCAAAGGGTAGGGCTTTCCTCTTATCTTTGTATCCCTGAAGGGTCCAGGCACAATAGCTGCTACATAGATGAGAGCTAAATGAGCGAATGGTGGGCAATACTGATCCCACGGTGTAGGGACCAGCCTGTGTCTTCCCCAGGGTAGGCAGGGGGTGCCCAGTCTTCACGTTGGTGGTCCTGTCCTCCTTTTCCATAGGTCGCTATGCCTCACCAGTGGCTTGAGGGCAACTTGCCCGTGAGTGCCAAATGTGCTGTCTGTGACAAAACATGTGGCAGTGTCCTACGTCTACAGGATTGGAAATGCCTTTGGTGCAAAACTATGGTAAGGGTTTTGGAATTATTTCACCTTTTCTAAATTAGCTTCTTTCTCTGCCTTTGTCATATATGTAGTTTAGAGGCAAAGCAAAAAATTCATGGCAGCAGGCCAGCAGGTGGCGTGGTAGTTAAGGCACTGGACTTCCACATGATCAATCATGGTTTGAGTGCTGGACGCAGTGCCTTGAAAATCATGCCAGTGTGTGTGCATGCATGCCGAAAACCCCAAGAGGAGACTAAAGGAGCAGGAATTGTGATGTGACCATTTTCCTGTGGGGAGATTTCTCACTTTCCTTCTGTCTCTGGAGAGCACATGTGCCCTATGGTACAAATCTTTAAAAAACAAAAAAAAAAAGCAGAGCAGAGTATGGTAGCATGCATACCCCATTGTAACCTTCTCTACCTTCCAATTTGGTCATTTTCCCCAAATACGCTTTAGTACTCTTAATTCTTTTCTGCAGTTTTGTTGTTTCATTTTGCTTTAGCCACATAGTGGCTTTCTTTTTTTGGCCTGTCTTACCACTCTACACAAAAGGCCCTTCTCTGTTATGCCACCAAACTCTGGTTGACATGCAGAATGTAATTTTGCTCCAACCTCGTGTATTCTTAACAGAACACTGTGTTTAATAGGCCATCCCACTGATGTATTGGGTCACTGGAAAAGTCACGACACATTTTTGCATCGGAAAATACATTATGACTTTTCCGATGAGCCAATACTTTAAATGATATAAATTTATAATATGTAAATTAGTATTTAAAAACTTTCTGCATATGCCAGAAAGAGGTGAAAAGCACACACCACGGCAAGGTGGTTGGTCCTGTTTGTGCCAGATGATGAGGACAGGGCCTCTGGTTTGCATGAGGGTAGTCAGAGTAGGAAAGAAGTGCGCTTGTCTTGGCACTGGGCCGTGCGTGCTCTCTCCTACCACGGTAGTGACTGCCATGCCTCGGGGCTGATTAATCTGGCATTGATTTGAGTCCTGTAGTCTCTCGAAGTTGCTGGTTCAGATTTGGAAGTCAGCCCCAGATTTACAAAGGTAAAATCATTGTTTTAGAAAAGTGGGGTATATAGATCAGCAAATGTAAGAAATGGATGATGTGTTGATGACACAATCAATAAGACTGATTCTGTGGACCACAGAAGCCCTACAGTTTTTTAGTCAGTCCTGGTAAGTAATCTATGTTTCCTCTTAATTTTTAAAACAAACATAATTCTTTTTATCCTCATACTTTTGTTATTCTTCATTGGTTGCCTCCTTTATTAGCCATAGATGTTACTTTTAATGTATCTTATTCCATTTAATGTAATATGTGAACTTTAACTATCTCTCTTCAGAATTTTAGTATAACTCTAACCCCTAAAGCCCTCTTATGCCATCCTTTAATTTTAAAAAGGGCTTTTGGAAGCAAAATTTTAAATTACCATGTGACCTCTTAACTTGTTAACGTAGGACAGCTGTGAATATGGTTGCCTTTATATCTATTTTTATATTTATTTAATTCTCTCTATTAGAGGTCCAATTGTTATGTTCTACTTTTTAGAAAGAAAACAGATCATGAGTTTGAAAAATTATTTTGAAAAGTTCCATGAGAGGACTTTAAAAAGGTCGTATAAAAATGCAATTAAAGTACAAGTTGATTTTAGTTCAAACAGTTTTGAAACACGTGCATAGTTTTTCCATAACACACAATTTCCATGAACTTTTAGAAGACCCCACATATATTAGTTGTCTTTACCTGCAATGTATACATCTGCTTTTATTTAGTCAGTAGCTTCTAAATTTCCTGACTTCAACAGCAGGAGTTAGCTCGTTTACTTGCTCAGTGTACCTCCCCTCAACTTGTAAAAATTCCACAAATAAGATAGCAATATTATTACAGATGGTAAGAGGGTGAAGGGTACATTCTGGAATGTCTTTTCTCCTTTTTTTTCCGTAGAAAACTCAAATACATATTCTTTAACTGTGAAATCATTCCTGCCCTCTCCTGTGTGATACATTACCATGTAACACCTCTCTTAGTCTTGCTTTTTTTTTTTTTTTTAAAGGAACTTTTTTGCTTTAGGGCGTATGTGCCCGCCAGAAGAGACAGCAGCAGTGAGAGGAAAAGTGAGAAATCATTCCCCAGTGGAGATGGCCTTGCCACAATCCTTTCTCCTCCATTCTCCTCTCAGGATCTTGGGCATGCATGCCTATGCGGGTGGTGTGAGTTTCAAGCCATCAGGTCTGGGACTTGAACCACAGTCAGCAATGTGGAAGTCCAGCAGTGTAACCACTTACACAATCTGCTGGCCCCTTCTTGCATTTGTTATATGCCAGCAATTAATGCTTACATGTAATTTTGCCATTAAAATAGGAGTTTCTGGAACCAGCAGATGGTGAAATGGTTACATCACTGGATGCCCGTATAATCAACTGCAGTTCAAGTCCCAGACCCGGTGGCTTAAAACTCATGTCAGGTGCATGTGCGTATGTGCCCAAGATCCCAGTAGGAGACTACAGGAGAAAGGATTGTGGTGTGGCCATCCCCCAGGGTGTGATTTCTCGCTTTCTGTCTCCAGTGAGCACACATGCCCTCTGGCAAAAATCTCTTAAAAAAAGGGGGATGGATATAACCATAAACATATATATATATA